AATTGTCTCACAGCGAAGACAGTCTTCTGCTTCTCGTTGCAGTCGCAGCTCTCAAACACCATCTCCATCTCGGAGATCCAGTCCATAATCTCAACAGGCTTTGGGCTTCCTGAGAGACTTGGTGGTTTTGCACCCAAGAAATTTTTGTACATCCGCCCATCCTTGTTGTTTCTCCCTTCTGGGCCATCCCTTTGCTCACCTTGAGTCCCTATTTGACTCACTTGACGGCTATAGTTCCCTTCCTCAGATGGCTCGGGAACTGGCTCCGTCGGTTCAACATGTATGGTAGGTTCGTCCTATTCTCGCGGAGCATCCGTCTCATTTCTTCCCTTTGTTCAGCTAGCATAGCCTGAATCATGGCTTGAACTCCAGCCATGGTAACTGGCTCAGGTGCAACTTCTTCAACAATAGGTATTTGCTGAACCACTGGGGGTTGGTTCCTACCTCCATTCGCGTTCACGTTTCCGCTACGGGTCCTTGCCATCTTGATCTATACACCGAATAAGGTGAATTCAGATCTTTATTTAGGAGAGACGTTTTAAATCGTCCTTATCACTCCGAAACGTTTACATGCTAGTTCTAATATCGTAGTCGTACGTTTAGAATCCTAAACACATAAGGTTTCCAGATCCGGTCGGCAACAGACCATAGATCCGAACAAAATAACGCATATCATGCATAAAGCATTTAGCACATAAAAGCATTTTAGGCACAATTCCTAAAATAAGCTAGTGCTCACACCTCACAATCATCGCTTAGCATTCTAAGTTTAAGTCTAGAAATCCTACAAATTCCTAGTTCGCTTAAACTAATGCTCTGATACCAACTGTGACATCCCCAAAATCACGGCCAGAAAAGACCGGTTTTGTTTATACTTTATTTCAAAATCAGAGTTATCTTTTAATAAAAGGGTTGCGGAATTTGTCCCAAAACAATAATATGATAAAGATTTATCAAAAGCATTTCCATAGAAATGTATTTCATTAAAAGACTCGGGATGTCATGTTCGTACAGATCAAAAGTATAAACAGTACAATATAAGCCTTACTACATTATTTCATATCTACAGGCCTATATCCGTAATCCCTCGTCCAAAACATCACACCTATGCTCATGCGCCACTACCTGTAATACATAAAACTGAGTGGGTCAGGCTTGGGAGCCTGGTGAGCACATAGGGTTTTCAACCCACAATAAATAAGTTTATTAATTTCATCAATCAACAATAACCCGATTACCCGTTCCCGTTATCCTCACTTTACGTCCCTAAACACCTATCATAAGGGACCTAGCCTAAGGATCATCATCGGGACGGACACTACTGCTAAGGGGATTCCTCAGCAATAAATGTCCTAATAGGCAACCATGTGGGGGATGGAGTACACCGGTGAACACATCGTTCACAACACCTACAGGTTGCGAGCCTGCTAGTGTTCCACTGGACTGTCTAGAAGAGTCCGTGGTCGTCATCTATACTCCGCTAGATGACTGGATCAACAACAACAACATCGAGGCCTCTCATCATTTTATCACACATCACCTATTACATCTACCCATGTTTTACCCCAACATTTTCGTAGATATAAAATACATATACAGTTTAAATCATTGAAAACATGTATAACAACGTTCATCTAGCATAGATAGCAAGTATTCAGATAATATGCACACATAGCACGTAATTTATATAAAATACTTCATATCTATGTGTAAGTTGAAAGTAACTATGCACTCACCTGATTAGGTGGTGACTCAGCACTCGGACAGCGCTTCGCTACTCTCAAAATGATATTCCTTCGATAAAACCTAGTATCGATACCACTAGGGTTTAGTCTAATGATAACCGTGACAAATTAATTGTCTGACTATTATTATTATTATATAAGTGTTAATAACACTTAATATAACTCATAATAATAGCCCAAATAATTATTTTAAGGACCTAATAACATTCCTATATTAAAACATAAGCTAAACTAAAGATAGGATAGGTACAACTCACTTACAGTGGGTTTTTTCTCGAAAATCGGGCTTCGCTGGAGCAGCGTTCCCGAGCCGAAAGGCTCTTTTCTCGGGACTCTGGGAGCCTCGTGGCTTCCTTCGGGTGCTAGGGGGTTTACCTAGGCTTTTAGGGGGGTTAGGGAGCTTAGAGAGAGAGTTTAGAGAGAGAAAGAAGAGGGGTGAGGGGTGAGGAAATGAGGGAACCCGACACCTCTATTTATAGGGGAGGATTCTGATGTACTCTCCGAGTAAGGGGGACCTACTCGCCGAGTTGGTCCATGTGGTGGCCTTCTGGTGGTGCCACGTGTCCAATTCTGGTGGTGCCACGTCACCCCTATCGCGTGTCAGCCCTCGAACTTAGAAAAATCATAACTTTCGCATACGAGCTCCGTTTTCGATGTTCTTTATATCCACGCGTAGGTAAAATCAAGATCTACAACTTTCGTTTAGACTCCGTCGGCTAATTCTCGACCGATCTCAAATTTAACAGTAGGAGGCGTTTAGACTGTTAAATGACCGCGAAGAGTTCATAACTCCTTCATACGGACTCCATTTTCGTCTGTCTTTTTACCGTTGAGTTCGTATGAGATCTTCAACTCTCATTTAGGTCGCGTAAGCCAAAAACCGCTCGAACTAAAATTCGAGTTTCGGGCCGTGCACTGCTAAGCCGAATCTTAGAAAAATCATAACTTCTTCATACGAAGTCACATTTGGGCGTTCTTTTTATCGATGTTCTTAGTTTAACATATTCTATGACTTTTGTTTAGATTGCTAAGGCTAAAAAGTCTTCTATCGTAAATTCACTATTTACGTCTCCCGGTGCCGTGCCGGTTTTGCCGTAAAACTTCGGCGGGTCATAACTTCTTCGTTATAGCTCGGATTTCGGCATTCTTTATATCTACGGAAACCTTGAGACATATTCTACAACTTTGTGTAGAGATATCGGGATTATATCACACTTTAATTTTGACGCTCATTTTTATTCTTTATTAATTATACATTTATAATTAAATAATAAACACATAATTCACATAATACTCAAATATTTCATATTTATTACTTCAAAAAGAGTTGCAATAATTGACTTAAACTATTACATTGACAAAAATGCTTAGCTCTGAAACCCGGGCGTTACATTTTCCCCATCAGGTGTTCATGAGCATGTATGTCAATTAACTTGATTTCCTTAATTACATCTTCAAAATTTTGTTGTGGTTTTGGCCTTGGCAACACATTATAATAGTTTTTTCTACTCAACTCATGTGAATTTTCTCTTGAAGTCGACTTAAACATGCATAGCACATTCTTTGTGCTCACATTTAATATCTATATCCTTAACTACCTCAATAAGTCCATGTTAATTAACATTTCAATGTCATTATCGTTTAAAAAAAATATAAAAAAAGTATATTAGAAGCAGTTAACTGCCTTATGTTGGTTAGAGATGATGATTAGTCATTCACCTCGTCCCATTCCAATGTCTTCAATCAATAGATCCAAAAACCATTTCCAAGTTGCCTTAGTTTCAACTGGAACAACTCCCGTGCCAGCTCATCTCAACTCGATAATCTAAAATAAATAATAAAAACTCAAAATATGGGGAAGCATGGCTCGTGCTCGGGCTTCATAAGTTTAAATACCGAAAATAAAGGCAACATGAGGTAGGCACGACCCGTGCTTTCAGGGTCGGAATTTTAAAATGCCCCGAAAAATTCAGAAATCCACAGATTATGTTTTTGTAAGTGAAATTATCCATATCGTTTTGGAACTTGCATACACATATCCTTTAGCACTTAATTCTTCCTTACTACCGTAAACCAATAACATATCTTTATCCCTCATAAGATACTTCATAATGTTCTTGAGTGCGGTTCAACGACTTTCACATGGAGATAACGACTCATCATACTAATGACACATGAGACGTCTAACCTTGACATATCATGACGTACATGATCAATCTTATAGCCGAGGCATATGAGACTCGAATCATTATGTTCAATTCTTCAATAGTGTTGGGACATTGAGTATGAGTATAACATTTCACGACGAGCCGAGCTTTATAACTATATATGTTGCTATCCATGCCAATCTTCTTTTTGAAGATTTGTCTACACCCAAAGGTTTTAAGACCAATGTAGGATCAACTAGGTTCGATACTTGGTTATTGTAGATAGACTAAATCTCGCTGTTCATCGTCTCTTTTTATTTTGCAGCCTCTGAGTTTGCTATGGTTTCCTGGTAGTTGCACGATTCATCATCGCTTAACATGTTGCCATCCTCCTGAGTAATATAAAATCCATAAAACTTTGGTGGACGACATTCTTTATTAGATATACAAGGTGGTGGTGGAAGTATATCAGATTCCTCAATAGGTTGATCAACCTCTTTTTGGGGTTTAGTGTCCATTTCAGGTTTTTCATTCTTAAATCTATCAATATCACTTAGGTTCCCACTAGTTTCTTGATATATCAACTATCTCTCATGAAAGACTTCCCTATGAGTTATATGGAAGCTCATGTAGGGATTCATATAGTCTTTTATATGTTCTATATGTATATTTTTTTAATAATGTAATGTTTTTAATGTTTTAAACAATGTTTTTTTTTTATCTTTATGTTCAATATTTGTAAGTATTAATGAATGAATGTGTTTGCGGATTCATATTAATGAAATGAATCCAATATAAATTTGGCCCAAGAATGGTTGCCCACAGCACGAGGATTCAAAAATTTTCTTTAAAAACCATGAAAACGAAAACATACAGGGCGGGAAACCGAAAATAATCTCAAAAAGCAAACCCAAATTCAAAATTCATCGGAGCATTTTAATTGGTGGATCCACTTCACACGGATCGGTGATGAATAAACGAAGACCGTTAGATTAAATACCAATCCAACGGCCAAAAACAAGCCCAGTTCACGGTCCTGATCATCCCCAAATAATCATCGCTATATAAACAACTCATCGGTGGCGAAAGTTATCATCAATCACTTGTTTTCATACCCATAAATCACTTGTCTTCTAAGCCAAAAAGAGAAATGGAAACCACCGGAAAAGCGAAGAAGGGTGCCGGAGGAAGGAAGGGCGGTGGCCCAAGGAAGAAGTCGGTTACTCGATCCGTCAAAGCTGGTCTCCAGTTTCCCGTTGGTAGAATTGGGCGTTACCTTAAGGTCGGACGCTATGCTAAACGTGTTGGAACCGGTGCTCCGGTCTACCTCGCCGCTGTTCTTGAATACCTTGCCGCTGAAGTAAGTTTGCTTCTTTATTATCTTTATCAATTCATTCATGTAGTTAATTATATTCGATCACTTCAAGAAAACAAAAATGATTTTAGGGTTTCAATGTTCAAAATTGCAAATTGGGGGTGTATATTTATTTTCAGAAATAATGTTGCATAGCATTAAAAATGAAAAGTAGAGCTATCGTTTGATTGATTTGATGAATTAGACCTAGTTCTATAACATTATATCCAAAATATGGCTCCCAATCGAAATATTCTGCTCAATGGCATCGTTCGTATCTTCCATATCTAATCATGTTCGTTGTTCTATTGTAGGTGTTGGAGTTGGCTGGAAATGCTGCAAGGGACAACAAGAAGACCAGAATAATCCCTAGACACGTCCTTTTGGCCATCAGGAACGACGATGAACTTGGAAAGCTGTTGGGCGGAGTTACCATTGCTCATGGTGGTGTTCTTCCCAACATCCACGCCGTGCTGTTGCCCAAGAAGTCTGCTACAACAGAGCCTAAATCCCCATCGAAGGCTGCAAAGTCACCAAAGAAAGCAGCAAAAACTCCAAAGAAAGCTGAATAGGCTACCGTAGTTTGGTTGTTGTTCTGCTGCGTGTGTATTTGTCGTTAAATTACATATGGAGTTTAGTGTTCTAACCATTGTGTTCGTTTAGACTATCGATCGTATGTTACTACCTCTCTGTTTATCAATGGAAGAAACCGCTTGTTTCTATTTTCAACAATCTTTGTTTATATCTGTTATCTACTCTTTCTTACATTTATGTATAACACAAATTGTCAAAACTATCATAAATGATGTGATTTTCAATAACTTAAATGACATGAATCCATTGGACTAATGTCTAGACTCTTCTACCTAGTTTCACAAATCATTAAATGTACTTTTTAGAAAAATGTGTTATTTCCCTTTTATTTGATGTAATTTATTATGTTTATTTTGTGTAACATATGTGCAAGCTAGTGTCATGGAGCAAAAACCCACGTAAAATGTCTCTTTATTTGGATTTTTTTTTTGTGGTGTGGTGAACTTACTATTATTCATTGAGTGTTGTTTTCATGATGAGTTTGTTTGACACTGAACTTTTGGAAATATGGAGTTTTTAGTTTTAGCTTTTTGTTTTTGATAAAAAGCTACTTCATCTAAGTGTTCAACGTAACGTTTGGATTCTAAACAATACTTTATATATATAATCAATTGTTTTTTTATGTAATTTATATATTTCAAAAGTTTCTAGTAGTTTTGACAAACATACATATAACAAATAAAAGCTACAGTTTTCTGCTGCCAGCTACCTGATATACGTTAGTAGCTATTCGCTAACAGCTATCCGTTTCTAGTTAACAGTTGACAACTACTGTTGCCAAACATACCTATAGCTATTTAGCAAATTGATTTTATAATTACTTGGGAATGTTTTATACTTCTCTGGAGTTCTTTAATGTGAACCACCAAATTCTCAACATCTACCAAAAGTAAGCATTAATTATGTTTTATCTTTACCCAAAAAATCGATTCATATAACAATAACATCATTTATATTAATTCAAAAGGGTAATGCTTTTGATCAAACGAGTCTATATAAAGCCGAATACCTTAAACAACAAAAAATGGAAGAAATATACATATCTTTCAGATTACTAAAATTCAGATTATAACAGGTATACAACTGGTAATTATAGAACAACCATGATCATCAGAAGTAACATTTTTGATAATCATTTGTATAATAATTATCTATGAGTGTCATTATCATCTTGGGGCGTTTGAGTCTTGGCAACCTCAACAAAAATCAATCCACCATTCACAATCTGCACATTTGAGTAAGAAAAACTTGGTTCAAGAACCCAATTGTATTATCACAATTTCAAATCTATTTTGCATGTTTCTTCAATTGACATTTTAGAAAATATATAGCGAAATTGGCCATCTAAAACAAGAAAGATGGAAATACTGATGAAGTGTCACAAGTGTATTAACATGAAGATGGTTTTAGGTTTGTGAATTACTTCACTTCAAACCAGATTTTTTTGAGTATTCAATTTTTTCACACACCAAAAAAATATAGATAACCTTTAAAGATAGAATCAAAATAGTCAAATTACCTTCCCATTCATGGCTTTCATTGCATTTTGGGCATCAACATCTGATTCAAATGTAACAAAACCGAACCCTTTAGGCCTCTGAGTTCTTGAATCCACAACAAGTCTAGCTGCAACATTGATTCAATAAAATTCAAACAATCTTGATATAAAAATGACTTTGAATTACCAAAAAGAATAACTAAAATTAACATATACCTTCAGTGATTGCACCAAAAGGTGAAAACAACCTCTTCAAGTCCTTATGTGTAGTGTAAAATGACAATCCTACATAACAAGAACACAATCTTTAATTTACTCAAAGAGAAATGGGGAAAAAATAGCGTCTGGAAAATGGAGAAGAAGGAGAGATTACTGCTCACGAATAGCTGGGATCCAAGAAGTCTCTTTGCCATTGTGTAAGTTTGCCACAAAATGGTCAACTGCAAAAAATACTAGGCATCAATGTTAAATATAGCTTTTGTACAATTTATGCATGATTTGAAAAGGTGGCTTATCAAAAAATGAGCACGTTATGTAATAGTAATCCAAATCTCCAACAAGTGTATTTTTGGCATCAATATAAGATTCACACGCTGTTGATTGAAAATTAAGAACAATGTGTAAATCAATTTCATGAATGTGAACCGTTTGAGACATTTTATCAAACACCTTGCCTGCTTACTGAAAATTGATCAAGTATTAAACATAAAATCACCCATTTAAGTATATATGAGTATTTCATATTTCATCTATTATATCTACCCATGTTTTACCCCAACATTTTCGTAGATATAAAACACATATATAGTTTAAATCATTTAAAACATGTATAAAATCTTTCACTCAGCATAGACAGCAAGTATTCAGACAATATGCACACATAGCATGTAATTTATATTAAAATATTTCATATCTATGTGTAAGATGAAAGGGACTATGCACTCACCTGAGAAGGTGGTGACTCGGTACTTTAAAATAATTTCGTTTGACGAAACCTACTATTATCACCACTAGATTTTAGTCTAATATTACCGTGACTAATTATTAGTCTTATTATTATTATTATTATTATTATTATTATTATTATTATTATTATTATTATTATTATATAAACGTTTAAACAATACTTTCCAACTACTATGTACAGACAGGGGCCAGACATAAAACACCGGAGGGCATGACCATTTTGGCGTATAGCACTTCTGAAATCCAACAACCCTATGCGGCCCTTTAAACCAGATTCCCCGTACCGCGAGTAGTTAAAAAATATTATAACGACACTTATATAAGTCATAATAATAGCTCAAATATTTATTATAAATTTATAATAACAATACTAATTTTAAATATAAACTATATTTAAAATAGGGTAAGCATAACTTACTTTCAAGGGGATTTTAGCTAGGAGTCGGGCTCTACAGGGGCAGAACTTCGTCGCTGAATCTTTCTAAGAAAGATTCGTGTAGCGCTTCAGCGCTCACCTTACTATACTAAAACTACAGAAAGAGAAGTCGAATCACGAGGGACCGAAATGCTCGGGGGATAAGGAGAGAAAGACTCTTGAATCAAGAGAATGGTGCAAGAAATATGAGAGCCCAAGACTCTTATTTATACTAATTAAATTTTCAAAACTACCCTCCATAATTACTTAATGACCTTTTAGTTATATAAACAACTAAACACCCCTCTATAATACTATTTTAAATGGATTTAATGATATTTGTACTAAAATAATGTCGAAAGAACTCAACATTAGTCTTATAATGACCGCATCGTCGATACCTTTCTAATGATATATACATATGTATATATATGTGTACGTATACATGATTTATACTTTATTTTAATACGTAAATATGCTATTATAATTTGTAACTCGTTCATACGAACTCCGTTTTTGACGTTCTTTATATCCACGCGTAGGTGGAGACGTACTCTACAACTTTCGTTTAGACTCCGTCGGCTAATTTTGACTTTATTTTTAAAGTTGTATTTTTAACAGGCCGGTACAGGATTGATCCGTTAAAATCTCATAACTTCTTTATCTGATGTCCATTTTCGTCTGTCTTTTTATCGTTACGCTACTAATAACGAGATATTCGATTCTTGTTTAGGTTGTGTCGGCTAAAAATCAATCGATCTAAAATTCGAATTTCGGGTTGTACACCGCTAATCCGAAACTTCGAAAAATCATAACTTCTTCATACGAAGTCAGATTTGGGCGTTCTTTTTTATCGATGTTCTTAGTTTAACATATTCTACGACTTTCGTTTAGAGCGCTAAGGCTAAATCTATCTCTATCATAAATGTACTATTTACGCTTCCCGACGTCGTGTCGGTTCCGACGCGAAACTTCGACGGGTCATAACTTCTTCGTTATAACTCGGATTTCGGCGTTCTTTATATGTACGGAAACCTTGTGACATATTCTACAACTTGGTTAAGATTATTTATTCTAAGTAATCTTTTTGTAGAAAAGTCATTTTCGACCCCTATTGCCTCTAAATTGACTAGCCCGGATCTGCGGGCATTACAATTACTGAAGGATCTATAGATTGGTTACTGGACTTCCCTATTTATTGATCAGTTATAATATATATGTTAATTCATATTTGGCGTTCCTACTCCCTATATGGATCATTGTTAGCCATGTTCGTAATTGTTTAGGTGAGTTATCTCACTATAATATGTGTTACAGTATATATCATTTGTATGCTAGGATGTAGATGTATTGTAGTATTTCCAGGTAGGCTTGTATAGTATTTGCTTGTTAATTGTTTCATTTGTTGATTGTATGATCTATTGACATATTTTATGGAGAGGTTGATGGTGATCATGTAACAATTACGATAATTGTCACCGATCGACATCTATTGAAGCGAGAAACGTCGAGTATAATAGACTTGGTACGTAATATGTATCAATCTATGATATATATATATATATATATATATATATATATATATATATATATATATATATATATATATATATATATATATATATATATATATATAAAGTTTCGTATTAAGTTTAAATAGGAAAAATCAATTAAATCGCATGTAAACCGTAAAAATAAGTGCACAAAAAGTTATGTTATATTCCCAAAGTACACGTCGTCCCGATCTCGGAAAAATAAATTTCGTAGAAATCCGACTCCGAATGAATTAGATATGATTTTTGTAAGATATAAAAATCAGTCATACACAAAGAATGTGTGACGTTAAAACTACAAAGAGAAAGATTGACTTTTAACTAAAGTTATCAAAATGTGAATCTTAGTACTCATCGAAATAAAATTGTTGAGAATAATAACGTCAAAATCGGAATTCGTGCAAAAAATATATGATGTTTGCAAAATCATTAAATCGTATAAAAATAAAAACTAAAAATATAATTTGAACGAATAGGAGAAAACTTAGACGATATTCTTGTTGATTTCATTCTTGATTTCAGGTCAAATAATTCTTCAAGATTAGTTTTATTGGTGATTTTCCGTATTTATATTCACAAATGGTAATTTTGAAATTTCGTATAGACATTTTGAGGGGAAAAAAATGCATGGGTGAGCTGAGCAATTGTAATTTTATACTCTTTTATTCGGATAGAATATTTATTGCTAAATTTGGAGTTTAGATTGCGTTTTGGAAGCTTCTTTCAAGTTCAAGAGTAAGAGAAACGAAGAATGTAAAACTTGATTGATCATATGAGTTACTGTTACATTGAAGAAAGCTATGATATCTACATGATAACTAACTGTGGTTAAGGAAATTAACTAACACACTAACAAAAATCTAACTCATATCTAAATAAATCATGTGATAAACATCAACATACTTCCCTTTACGTTGAACTTTGATGAATATCATCAATGTTTAACTTGGATTATAAGACTATGGAACTGAGGATTACATAATACTTCCCAAAACTCGTATGCTAGTTCTTGCCTTGTGGAAATATGCTTTGGATTGAAGGTTCAAAAGCTCTAACAATTGTGAAATTTAATTTTGAGAATCCACGCATGAAACCGACATTAATTTTGAGAATCCACGCATGGAACTCATAGAATTGTCATAAACACAATTCACTTTACTTTTGATCTATTGAAACTTACTCAAGCTTTTGTTGCTCAAATCATTGGATAATCACACTTAAGTCGTAAATGAAAGAAGCGGAAACTAAAAAAGAATAAAATTACATAAATTTAAAAAAAAAAAAAAAAAAAAAATTAATGGATACATCTTACTAAAAATAAAATAAAATAAAGCAGTTCTTCCACTTTAACCCGTACAAATTGTCGTGGATGCAATAGTTATCTTCACGTTGTTTACAAATAAGACTTCAACGTTTAAAATTAAAAACACGAATAACCCGTACAAATTGTCGTTTAGACGTTTATACGTTAAGTAAAAAAAAACATTGCATACAGATCAGAAATGTTTCTGAAATCGTAATATGAAGCAACGACATCGAGATTCATAACATTAATCACTATCCATTACAGAAGTCAATTGAAGACGGTTTAAAAACATAGCTCCTACGTAATCATCACGAGATATGACAATCTAACCCTAGCCTAGAACACCAAATCTTATACAAACGATTAATAAAGAGTACAAATTACTCAAGTGCTTGTGAATTTGGTCACGGCCTTAGTGCCCTCAGACACCGCATGTTTGGCCAATTCACCGGGAAGTACAAGTCTTACAGCAGTTTGGATCTCCCTGGATGTGATCGTTGGCTTCTTGTTGTACCTTGCGAGCTTGGAACTCTCCTGTGCCAATTTCTCGAAAATATCGTTGATGAAACTGTTCATGATTCCCATCGCTTTGCTGGAGATACCGATGTCGGGGTGAACCTGCTTCAAAACCTTGAAGATGTAGATCTTGTACGTCTCGACGCTCTTCTTGTTTCTCTTCCTCTTCTTGTCCCCGGCCGCAGCGCCGGCCTCCTTTGGCAGTTTCTTTCCGGCCTTTGGTTTCTTCTCTGCCGGTGCTTTCTCAGCGGCGGGGGTTTTCTTCTCCTCCGCTGGCTTCTTCTCGGCGGGCTTCTTCTCTGCCTTTGGCGCCATGGAAATTAGTATTCAAGGAAGGATTTTAAATCGAGTTTTTAGGGTTTGAAAGTTGGGGGAAAATGAGAAACACGGTGGATTGTTGTGGAAAGATTAAAGTTTCGGGGAAATATTATATAGGAAAGGTGAGTGACTTCTTATTGGTTGGCTAACTTTCACACGGATTAGCGACGTGGCGGAAAATACGCTTGTTGGATGAGTCCTATGAACTGCAAAATTAATGGATGGCCCTGATTAAAATTTATCTTTTGGGATCTGAAATAAGGCGGTCTTTCCATTTTGTATGTTTAATTTAAATTCACTCCGACATAGAACATTAGTTTGTTTAATTTAAATTCACTCTTCTCTCTTTTTGAATAAAAAATTAGTTTATAAGATGTGGAAAATTAGGCGGAGCTGGTTAAAAGCGAACCGTACCCTCAGATGCTCCGGACATGAACAAGTATAGAAGCATCCCTCAATGTCAGCAATCCATCTCATCGTAGCGATCGGATCCTGCGTCCCATCAAAATTGGGTGGCTTCGTTTTGCTGAACTCCCAAAATAGCAACGAGTCACCTCCTTGAGGTCTGGCAGAAACAACAGTTGTCGTAGCTACATCGGCTGCGGCCTCAGTCACCGCGGTGTACCGCTCATCGAAAGTCTCCATCAGTGTGGTCTTGATAGACTCAAACATCTCCGGAATCTCGGCCCGGATTTCCGCAGCCACCTCATCGTGGATCATCTGACGAAGCTCCTCGTCATTCACACCGCTCGTCCCAGGTCTGTGGCGTGTCCCAACCATAATTCCTCTAAAACACGACATAAAAATATCAGAGACTCAATCGAGCATACTCGCACTCGATAACGCAACCCTACTCGACCTCCGATATCCAAGGGATTCTTACCTGGACTGCCCACTGATCCGGTGTCTTCAGTAGTACGGACCCTATACTACTGACTACACCACATCAGCATTCACCCCAAGTCCTACTCCTTGGACCCCGGATCACGAGTACTCTATTCTTGCTATGCATTGGCTACCTACTCACTCTCAAGACATCTCATAGCAGCAGGATTCCCTAGACTAAGGCGTCACAAATCAGGTCACTCTAGTCCTAATATGAATACCTAGTATACTCTAGCATGCATAACATGTCATAACATATCTCATAACCCATATTGTAAGGGTATTTTGGGGATTTTACCGTTCGGGCGATGGCTGACCGTACACACTGCTTCTTCTTTAGTTATCACAAAATCTCTTATAAAATTTTATGCTTTTATTTATTGAAATTTTTTTCTCAAATCCTCGGTTTGAGTTCAGTTACGCCCGAAGGTGTACCCGAATCCCTCAAACCAAGGCTCTAATACCAACTTGTAACGCCGTAAATTTTCTAAACAAAATTTTAATTTCCTAAACATGTTTTCTTCTAAATCAAGTCATAAAAATCCAATATACATCATATCGCCATACAAAACATATCAATCCCAAGATCATAAAATAATTCCTCCGCTAGTGTGTACAGATCACGACGGCGCCTTCCCACGGTCCTCTCTAGTACCTGAAACACATAACACAACAACTGTAAGCATAAATGCTTAGTGAGTTCCCCAAAATACTACTTAAACACACATACACCCTTCCAGGCCCTGACCTTTCGGTCCATGTGTCTCAGGGGACTTCCGTCCCAACCCGGTAAACCTTCCGGTCCTACCAGCGTCGACATTTCGGTCCTCATCACAATGCCTTCTGGCCCATAACATAACGCATTCCGACCCCCCATCAAGCATAACATACATAACACATACAAACAATTATCTTAATCACATACAAAGCATACTTCTCATAACATATCCGACCTTCTGGTCACACATAAATACTCTTCCGAGTACAGTATAGTGAGAAGACTCACCTCAGATATCTCAGTAACTCACTGACCCGGTGGGAAATGCGATATAGCCTCCGCCTAAACACATAAGGAAAATATTCCCATAAATATGACCGTACTCTAGCATTTCTTAACATCCTCATAAGGGTAAAAGACCATTTTACCCCTCTTTTGACTCACAAGCCTCGCTGCTGTCCAAACCCTAAAAGTCAACCAAAGTCAACGGTCAACTTTGACCCGACTCGGCGAGTGCACTTGGGCAACTCGGCGAGTCCACCTGTCCCCACTTAACTCCTTAGTCCAATTAACACATCGAGTCCTTCCCTTTACTCGACGAGTCCCCAGGCATGAATCGCGGGGCTACCTTGACTTTACTCGCCGAGTCCCAAGAATAACTCGGCGAGTACATGCCATGCACAAATTCTTTTAACCTCCTGAGGTCAGATATGTTCCTTAATTCCATAGATCTGACCTTCCCAGTCAATATAATCACGTAAAGCTCACAACTTGATGCGTATAAACATACATAATGGCATCAAATGGAGATTTAGTCCCATAAATGGCAACCTAGGTTCAATCACCCCTCAAGGACCCATAAAGCATACTAGATGGAAGTCTCTGAACCTCTTTGAGTCCAGATCCAAAGCATAGACTCGATAAGGGACCAATAGCTCCAAATAAACATCCTCAAAAAGGGTTAGAAAACCCTAATCTATAGGTTCAATACCAAAACTGAAGAAAAGTCGAATGAATACCTCAAGTTGGAATCTCTGGACTCTGAAACCACTTGAACCACACCTCCTTCAGCCTCCTCTTGCTCTTGATCACCTCCTTTACGCCAAACCAAGGAAAGAAAGATCAACAAAAGTTTCTCCTTCCTTCCAAATGATATAGATCACTAAGGGAGCTCTCAAGGGACTGGTAGCCGCAATGGGAGGCTAAGAGTACCCTTAAATAGGCTCCAACCCCGGAGGATTTAGGGTTTCATTAAACAGCGTGGACTCGCCAAGTCCACTCATGGACTCGTCGAGTCCAAAGTAAATCCGGATGACCAATCACGACCATACTCGGCGAGTCTACGCATCAACTCGCAGAGTTCCTTCTCATAATTCAAAAATATAAATATTAAATAATATACCTGGGATTCCGGATGTTACAAATGGACCGTTACAAATTCATTTCTTTTATCCCCGATTGGTTTATATGTAGATTAGATACCATCCCTTGATTAAAGATATTTACTATAATAGGTTAATATATATATATATATATATATATATATATATATATATATATATATATTCATGTATTAGGGTAAACCCTAATCGTGTCTTAGTGACAGCTTTGTGCCATTCATCTTTGTGACCCTATCCTCTTGGTGAGAACACCTTTCTTGGTGAAAGATATATTTGTGATACTTTTGTGTTCTTCATTGTTCTTTATTATTTATATCCGATCTACGAATCTACAAAGGGTTTGGGACCAACATAAATGAAACTTAAAATTAGACAATGTTAGGAAAAACAATCTAAATAAGAAACAAATATCTCATGAATAAGGATCCTTTGATATAAATACAGTCGAGAACGGAGATTGTATGAGAAAGTTATGAATTTTTTATACAGACTTTAATAGTCCAAGCTTGTTACAAAAAATAAAGTTAACAATAAGTTGCGACCTAGCCAACAGAGTCTAAACGAAAGTTGTAGTATTCGTCGATAGCTACGTATGGGTATAAACAATGTTGAAAATGGTGCTTGTATGGAAAAATATATTAATTTTTGAAAAATATTAAGATTCCGCGCACATAGATAGGGTGCATGGCGCACACTGACAACCTGATGTGGCTCCACCCAAAACTTGACACATGGAAACATGGAGGAAGGACCACACCAACATCTCCAACCATAGGCACAACGTGCCTAGGCAAGGTGTGCAGCGTACCTCATTTTCCAGCTATGAATAGAAGTCGTTTTGCAGCTCATTTTCTTACACAATTCGACCCAATCCTCTAAGAATATCTTCCACCCCTAGCCCCTTTACTCCCTAATTCACAACTACTTTAGCGAAGCCCTATGGCATCAGAGAGTCGGATAAATAGAAGTTGCTAGGTCAGAGTTTTGTGTGCATAATTACTGGTTCTCGTTAGAAAAATCTGTAAGTCAAGTTGCACTTATCTTAATTCAAGTGTAACTTATATTTATAATCATAATTGTTATTAGTAGTCTTTAAATAAGATCTATCAGTAATTCAATGTCATAATAACGACTGATCTACTTACGGGAGTGGTGTCTATGTTGTATTTAGTGAGGTGTTTAAAGTGAGATTTCCAAACAATATATTTTGTATACCAAACGGACCCTACCTCCGATATGATCCTAAATGGTTATTCCTTATTTGATTGTTATTGTTGTAGACATTGAAATTACTGAGGATTCTAAACTATCATTGTTATAGTCATAAGGAATGTGAAACTATACTAATACTTAGTGCTATTTAATTTTAGGACTTTTGAAACGATAAGGTGTTACGGGAAGCGTTGCCCTAACCTATAATCACCCACTCTTTCCAGGTGAGTGTATAGTTACTTTCAATAGCACAACTTAATAAAAGTATTTATTAAATGCTAATTATATTAATTATACTATGTGTCATTTGTATAACTATAATAGTATTGCTTTATTTTGATATGTATTGGAAGTAGGATGCATTTAACTATAGATTTGCCTACTTATGAAAATAAGGCTTACAAAGGTCGTTTAGTTCAAATTAAGTAGAATTTCGGATAGGTCTCATCCTGAGGTAGAGTGTGAGATTAATACAAAGTATAGTAGTCTCTATTTTCTTGGATGACAAAAAATGGTGGGTCCATATCTGACAACCGACTGGTATGTCTGGGTCATCGACTGGAGTAGATAACCCACATACGTAGATAAAATGGGATACCATATTTATCAAATACTTTGAACATTGGTTGCCTTTAATACGAATTGCACTGCGCCAAGGACTCCCCTAGTTGCGTAGTCAAACAGTCGATCAAATATTCATCAGGTAAGGTGATTCTTCCAGATGATCATTAGGATACATGATAATTGACTGGGTGGTCTTACATTAGATTGTGTGTGTGTGTGTGTATATATATATATATATATATATATATATATGTATATATATGTATATATATTATGCTAATGTTTGTTTGCAGGAATGTCATTATGATTTATTGTCATTAAAATACTATGTGCTTGAAAACACTATGCATCATACTAGGTTTCTTAAACCTGACTCACTCAATTTATATGCATCATAGGTCGTGCAACTAAGGCTGTTGGGCACTAATTAGGATGTTGAGTAAAATAAGAGACGAGTATGTAATAGTATCTCAGGACCTTTTAGTATTTACGTTGCAACCTATGTTTATATATTAATGATGACATCCTTGGTATTTTAATATAATAAAATAACACTTGTTATCTTAAAATGTTTTAATTAAATTGGAATTTTTTGCAACTCACTGAAATTAAAAAAAAAAAAAAAAAAAAAAAAAAAAAAAACATTAGTTGGTTCTGAAAATTTGTGGATGTCACATTTATACACTATAACAAGGCATCATAAATAAATAAAATTTACATGTATACGCACCCTATGATCTAGTTTTTTTTACTAATTATACTACTTTAAAAAATAGAAATCCACTAGAGAAATACATAATTGCTAACCTCTTATGCAACTCGATCTTAATTTTCTTGACCCTTCTCGAGGCTTCTTGATCCAAGAATGTTGGTTGGATAAAAGGACCAAAATTAGGAATTCTCTAATGGAATCACACCCAATAACTCTAAGGAAAGAACCAAAAGAAATATAGGATATTGATTAATCTCAACAAACCCTAAGAAGATTTGGAAATTGTCCCATAGAAGGAAATAAATGAACTGGCAAAATCTTCATAACTAATATGCAAGAAGGAATGAAACATCCTCCACCTTATTTATAGACTTAAAGATTTAGCAAAGTTTCATATCCCATCCTATGTGAAATGGATAGAGAATTTCAAATTCTTCTTTCCATTGGGGGTTCTATAATATTTCAATTAGTCAATCCTTTAACTAATCAATATTCAACCATTTGAATTAAAAAATTCAAAGTTAATTCCAAAATAGTTTCTAATTAATTTATTAAACATAATAAATTAATAAACTTATTTTCTCCTTACTTCTATTTTTTTTTCTAATTCATTATTTATTTGTTGAGGGCAATCCAAAAAGAACATTGTTATTATTTAGAAACATTACCAATAGTTAACGACTTTGAACACTATTTCCAACGAAAATAAAAACCAAGTCATGGTGAAGGCAGATTTCTAGTGGGAAAGCATCACTAATAGCCATTGTACTTAGAGGTGGCAATCATAGACATAACCCGTAACCCAACACGAAAATAAACGGGTTTGGGTTGATATTTTTGATCCGCCAACCCGTTTATTTCATGGGTTGGGTTATCTGTTTGGGTTCACGGGTTGGGTTATCTGTTTGCCTACTTCGAAATCAGGTTTTAGACCAACTGTGCACATCACATATCGCTCAAACATAACTCAAAGAGACCCACCTAACTTCCGATATCTTACGGTTTGCCTCATGGGAGACACTATCATTTGCATTCTTTTGGCCAATTAACATCTTGTATAGATCATTATTAATTTCTCGATATTTTTGCATAAGATGTCGAAGTAGGTGGCTCGCCTTAGTAATACCTCATTCATCGCCTTCATTGAACCATCAAACCACATATAAATCCACAATCAATATTCATTAAACCATCAATATTCACAACTCGACAAATATGTTACGATCTTCATTGTCAATAATTAAAGTTGTGGAACATACTTTTTGTCAAACAACATTTGTTTTCTTGGAACCAAATAATCAAACCATTCGAGCCTCAATTTTATCCGACGAAATCATCAACTTAAAGTTGGATATAAAACCAGATACAACCATAAACCAAAAGACGACCCTAATATCGATACCAAAGTCTTATACAAAAAAAAAAAAAAAAAAAAAAGCAACAAGTTTTGATTCAATTTGAGGGAGATGGATTGCATATTAGGTTTGGACTATAGTTCACTACTGTGAGCGTGTGATGAAGTTGCATATTTAAGTTTCAACGCACCATCAAACACTAGGACCATATATGTCCCACTTGCGGTTTGATGCTATCTTTGATTTACACCAAGGACACGAATACACGGATCCATGTGAATTGATACTACACAAATACATTTTGAAAAGGAGATAAAACTTAATCTATTCATGTCTTCATCTGTGTAAATTCATGTGTATATTCAGTTTCAATCAAATCTTTTTCTTTTTAGAAAACCAGAAGTTTCATGAATCACAACTTAATGTCAAGGCAATTTATCTACCTCAAAACGATGATACATAACCCTCACAACCAAATCAAGAAGCACTAACTTAAAAATATAACATTCACAATCCCGTCACAATATGCTTGATAAATTGAACATAACACCTAGCTCGAGGCACCAAGAAGCATCGAACAATCAACAATCACGAATTTTAAATCAAATTTAAAATATAAACAGAAGTACAACATTATCGATATTGCTTAACAAATGGTGGCATTTCTTTAAAATTACGTCATCATAACGAAACTCGTGGTTATAACAAGCAAGTTGTATCGTTAATGAATGACAAAGGTGCGGATAAATTACAGATGTTTTGAATTCATAATTCCAAGAAACTAAATCCAGATCCATAACATCATTATCGAAGCATAACGGAAATTAATTAAAAACGATACATAAAGATAGATTCTACAAACACATCACGAGATATGATGATCTAACACTAGTATATAACACCAACACATTTTAACAAAACATTAAAAAATCAAACCAATTATTCAGGAGCTGGTAAATTTGGTCACGGCCTTAGTACCCTCGGACACCGCATGCTTGGCCAATTCACCAGGAAGTACAAGTCGCACGGCGGTTTGGATCTCCCTGGATGTGATGGTTGGCTTCTTGTTGTACCTTGCGAGCCTTGAACTCTCCTGCGCCAATTTCTCGAAAATATCGTTTATGAAACTGTTCATTATTCCCATCGCTTTGCTGGAGATACCGATGTCGGGATGAACCTGCTTCAACACCTTGAAGATATAGATCTTGTACGTCTCAACGCTCTTCTTGTTTCTCTTCTTCTTCTTATCTCCGGCAGCAGCACCAGCCTCCTTGGGCAGTTTCTTTCCGGCCTTTGGCTTCTTCTCCGCGGGGGCTTTCTCAGCGGCGGGAGTTTTCTTCTCCTCCGCTGGCTTCTTCTCGGCGGGCTTTTTCTCTGCCTTTGGTGCCATTGAATTTGGGAAAAATGTGAAGATCGGAATTCTAGGTTTTCAAAATTGGGGGAAATACGATGGATTGTATGTGGATAGAATAAAGTTTCGGAGTGTTTAAATAATATCGGTGGTTGGATTCTTATTGGTTAGCTTGGTTATCACACGGATTTATGACGTGGCGGCTGTTAAGCACGCTAGATCAGGCTAACGGATGGCGAAAGTGAATCTACGGCCATGGTTAAGGCGGATTTATTTATTTATTTATTTATTTATTTTTTTAAATTTACTACAACTTTTTTCAACTTTTTCTATTTACTAAAATAATATTATATAGTCTAGATCTCATGATTCTCGACAGGACTCGCGACACGATCCCAAACAACTCTTCGGGGAATATATCCGCAAACTCTCGTACCACGGGGCACGGGCACATCACTCATTGTCGCCTTACCCGCCTCCCAGGTATCCATAACATAGGCGACAAATTTTGCGCAACCCTGCTGAAGGTAGTGTCTAGCTCTCACTGCTGAACAAAAAGTTGGTATTCGTTGTGGCCTCTCGTCCTGAATCACAAGCTCTCCCCCACTTAAGGTCCTGATCCGCACCAACTGTTGCGCGCGGTCAATCACTGCTCCATTGGGGCTTAGCCAATCCATACCAATAATAATCTTGTTCCCACGCAAAGGTATGGGAACCAGATCTACCAGATAACGCTCCTCGAACAACCTCAAAACACAATTTCGGTAGACCTCTAATGCTCGCACTGGCCGAGCATTAGACTTCAGTAGTAGCTGGGATACCTACATTTCCTTTGGCAAAGTTTTCATACAATAATAGCTACCACGCGAGTATTGACCGTCCTCCCTTCGAGATGCTATACAGGAGGAAGTGCAGAACCCTGATATGCTGGGGTGAGGTTGGACAAAGGGTCATGGGGAGTACCGAATTGGTACTCAAGATGATTTAGAGGATCCAGAAGGTATGGATTAGGCTTCAAACTGCTCATAGTCAACATAAAAAGTTATGTCTATAAGCGCTGTTCGCACCTGGAGTTCCAGTTCAGGGATATGGTCATTCTGAAGGTGTCACCTCTGAAAGGTGTCATCCAGTTCAGGAAGTGTGGCAAGTTGGGGCCCAGTTAGATTGTGCCTTTTAGGGTTGCAGCCCGGATGGGTAAGGTGGCGTATAGGTTGGATCTGTCAGCCGAACTTGGCCAGATTCACAGTACCTTTCATGTCTCCCAACTACGGGAATGTTTGGTAGACGACTCTATAGTGGTGCCTTTAGAGGATATTCATGTTGATGATAGCCTGAACTGCATCGAGCGACCAGTAGCTATCCTCAACCGGAAGTTGAAGGATCTGAGGAACAAGAGGGTCGAGCTGGTGAAGGTGCAATGGCTCATAATGGACTTGGGAGTCGGATGACGAGATAAGAGAGCACTACCCCGAGCTTTTCCCGGATGCAAAAGCAGACTTTGAGGGTGAAGTCTAAAATAAGCGGGGGAGATTTGTAACACCCAGTTCCTGGTACGTATCTTAAATAAAGAAAATTTGCATTTTTGTATTAGGACTCGATGAGTTGGAGGCTCAACTCGTCGAGTAGGGACGAATTTTGGATGCGGGTAGAAGAGCTTACTCGATGAGTTGGAAGCCCCGACTTAACGAGTAGATATGTCTGAATGAAACCCTAAATTTTAGGGTTTGCCCTATTTAAACACATTAACTCGCCTCCCATGCAACTCCCATCATATCCATTAGTCAAGAACGCCCTAACTCATGCCCATTGACCTTTGTTGAGTGTGTGAGTCATTTGTGAGAGTGTTTGTGTTATTTTGAAGCTAGAAGAAGAAGAAGGAGGAGGAGGTAGTAGATCCAAGGTTCAAGCTACATTTTATGTCCCTTTAAGGTATAAAGTTGCTTCCTTGACTTTCCTATTGCTAGATCTATCCATGTTGGAGTTTAGGGCCATCTTTTAGCAATTTTGTGAACCTTTTTGAGTATGGAGTGTGAATTGAAGTTGTAACTTTGGATCCAGATCCCTTTCGGCCCCTATAGCCACAAAGTTCACGAATTTATTATGTTATAGCCCTTCCCTCTGGCCTAGACTTCATTTTAGACTTGGAAATGGGGTTGTTGGCTCATAAAACCTTGCCTACATGTAAAGTTTGTAACTTTACGTGTAATATGGACCCTAGGAGGTCATATATACGTTTTAGATGTGTTAATCCCGACTGAAATCAGCTGTATGGATTTGGACATTGAGGGACTCGACGAATCGCTCATACGACTCGACAGGTTGGGTCGCAGCTTCCCCAGTCTTTTTATGGTTTTGAGCAACTTGTTAAGTTTTGAATGGAACTTAACAAGTTAGGCTCATTTATGGACTTAAAGACCAAGGAACTCAGCAAGTTCAAGAACAAACTCAGTGAGTTCGAGGCAGTATACCAACTGATATGAAGAAGGACTCGACGAGTCAAGGACGAACTTGGCGAGTCTAGGACTAAACATACCAACTCACATGAAGAAGGACTCGATGAGTTCAAGGATGAACTTGGAGAGTTAAGTGTAAAAGGTCCCGATCGTGTATGAAGGAGAACTCGATGAGTTCTTGAAAGACTCAACGAGTAGGATCGAGGTTTCAGTATTTTGAGGATTATGGAACTCGACGAGTTGGTGGACCATCTAGGTGAGTTGGGTCAACCAGATGTTGAATTTGACCAAAAGTTGACTTTGACCAGGGTGTTGACCTTGACTTTAAATTTGACCCGAGTTGACCCTTGAAAGGGTTAAGAGTATGATGTAACGACCCAAAATTTAAGACCAAAAATTTCTCTTAATAAATCATTACTTAAAGTAAAGTCATCATTCCAAAACATAACATGACTATAAGTTTTCAAAACACATGTTCATTATCAGAATAAACATTCCCAGGCTGTCTAATCTATGGTGTGTGCCATGCGATCACCCCGATCTCTTCCCTCCGCTACCGGAAGTACGTAAAACCAAAACTGAAAACCGTAAGCACGAAGCTTAGTGAGTTCCCCACCCTACCACATACCATGCATAACCACATACTGCACATACGGGGCCACGCCCCCTAACTTGGGCCTCGCCCCCTACCTCGGGCCTCGCCCGCTACAACGACCCCGCCGTTCCAGGCCCCGCCTGGCTTCGAGCCCCGCTTGGATACAGATCTGTTTTACTTAGGCCCCGCCTGTCACAGGGCCTCGCCCGCCAACAAATAATAACACATAACTAACACATACAACTGTTTCTGTCCTAAGGCCTCGCCTATCCTGGGTCTTCTACTCATAACTACATGGGCCGGCATTGTGGCCTTAGACCCATTCACACAAAGGGAAACTCACTTGCACTGGCTGAACTTGCTGATGATCTCACTAGTTGCTGCATGACAACTCACGGAACTCCTGCTCCCCTTGCTCCCCGAACTACCAATATCAATGCAACACTGAGTCTAACTGACCCCCGAAAGACAACCAAGTCCACCCTGGTCCAAAGTCAAAGTCCTGGTCAAAGTCAACCTTCCAGGTCAACCCTACTCGCCGAGTCACCCTACTGACTCGCCGAGTTCATAATGTTCAGATTCCTTCCATTCATGACCCGACTCGCCGAGTCTACCGATTTCTGAGTCCAGACCTGTCCAACTCACTGAGTCTCCACCCGACTCACTGATTCGAGTCATAACTCGAAGGGTTTGGGGTTTTCGCGACCTGACTCGCCGAGTCCAAGAACAGACTCGCCGAGTACAAGGCAATCTTCATACGACTCGACGAGTTGTTCATCCCACTCGTCGAGTTTCTCCACAACTTCATGCTACTCGCCGAGTCCCTTTAGTTCTCCTTACATGCAGAGGATTTTTGAGTTATGCATGGACTCCAAACTATAGATCCACCCTTCCCAAGCCTATTCCACACGTAAAGTTGCAAATTTTACGTGTAGAGAAGGAAATCTAGGCAAAATATGCCATAAACTAGGGTGTAAGGCCAAGGGGCTTCAAAATTGACTTAATAGCTGATACTTTATGCTTCTCCAGGCCATAACACACTTGGATCTGAAGTAGCAACTCCAGATCCGGCTTCTAACTCAAAATAATAACATTATGGCTAAAGAGCCCCAACAACCACACATAGATCTAGGTGCAAAAAGGGTCCAAGAACTAATTTATTACCTCCAAGTGCTCAGAATGAACTCACAATCCCAGATCTATAGCTCCTTCTTACTCCTCCAAGTTCCTTCTTCCTTTTCCAAGCTTTAATGCACCTTCCAAGGCTCAACTAGGAGATGTGACGGCTAGGGTTTGATATCCAGGGCTAAAGAGGCAGTAAGGAACCCTAGGAAGAAGATTAAGACATTTATATAGGCTCCAAGTCCCAAATTTAGGGTTTTCCACGCACAGACCAGACTCGCCGAGTCGGTCACTTACACCTCGACCCGGATCCCGCTCGGACTCGCCCAGTCCCTCCTTGGACTCGCCGAGTCGGCCCTTAAATTTGAGTTTTTCTTTCCTTTCATGGCCTTTAAGACTTTGGGTGTTACAACTCTCCCCCACTTAAACTAAACTTCGTCCTCAAAGTTTACTATACTCCACCACCTACGATCTGCCTCTAAAACCCCACCAATTATTTCAACACCAGTTGCCTACCTTCGCTGGTCTTCCCCCTGGTCATTCTGACTAGCATCACTCCTTGTGGATAATCATCTCGGGTTAATCCTAACCCTGAACATACTGGAGACACAACTTACTCAACTGTCAATCCCTCTGGTACTCTCCGAGTACTTCACTGAACCCATAGGGGTTCATTCCCCCCGCCTTTTTTTCCTCACGCGATTCCCTTGCCTTCCCAAGGCGATGCTCCAAAAACAACTATTTCCTCTGTCACTGTGAAGATCCTATCTTCACCGATCCATTATTCCTGCTAAATCCAATACGGGTCATCATCGCCAGTAACCACTGACACTCCTTTCTTGTCGTAACTTGGTGTCGAGCTCTCCTCG